TAAGCAAAAAAAATAAAAACAAACCACCCTCAAAAACTTTAAGTAATGGACAACAGTTATTTTACTTTGTACTATTTTTAGGACAATTAAAATTTGGAATAAGTAAAAGTTGAAGTTGTAGTGTTAGTGTACTCCTATTAAATTGGAAAAAAATAAAACTGTAATGGTATTTCAGAATAATAGGCAAGCACCTCATAACTTATATTCGCTATAGTTTTCCTTTAAAAAAAAAAAAGTTCATTTATGCCTGGAAGTAGTAGCTTTGGTTGAACCTTAGAGTTTTAGTTTCACATGTAGTGTGTGAAATTAATCCATCACACAAGAAAATTCCTGTTGGAATTGTCCTGAAAGGTTTTTCAGAAGAAAAATCTCAGCAACGTAAAATCTGAAAATACAAGCTTCCCCCTGCCCATGTTACTTTAATTTTACGGCAGAATTTCATTTCACTCTTCAGGAATAGTAGAAGCAAAGCTAGGTTAGGAAAAAAGTGAAGGTTGGTCTTTTTCATGGATGGTGAACAGAAGAGAATCAAACTAATTTCTTTTTGAGAAGCAAATACTGGTAATTAATTTTTTTTTTGCAAATAACAAATGTCTTTGCAATTAATTTTGCATGATTGGCCTTTGGTTATCAGCCAAGAAATGTGACCAGTCATATTTTAGTAGTTCTTCAAAATTTCATATCCATAAAATCTGTTCAGTGACCACGTAAGTAGCTATTTCTTAGTGATACTCAGTTATCTGTGTAGCATGCAACTTTACTGTGGTGTGATTTATATCAGCCGTACTTCTGTAGTTTTGCAATTTTTGAAACTTTTAGGTTTCAAAAAGCCCAACCCTCTGTTCCGTTGTGTGTGGAGTAAGTGCTCTGGCAGGGAAGGGGCATTGTTTTGGCACTAATGAATCCTGACATTGAGGGACAGCTCATGGTTGTTGCATGGTATAAAGAGGATCTTCATGTTACTTTAAATGCAAAATGGAAAAGGAGAATTAGCTTTAGGATTGGAAAAATATTTGTTATCTTTAAAAACATCTCAGCCTCAAAGTTTAACTGGAATCTTACTTAAAAAGTGAAAAAACCCCTGAATTCTTAACTGTGAGGGATGGGAAAATAGGGAGAGGTCAATGGGAAGAACTCCAAACTTCAAATACTACCTTCTTGCTTTGATTTTGTTGAGTGTTTTGGAATTATTTTGGCCCAAACTTGTGTTGGGGGATGTACTTGTATGAAATATACCACTTATAAAACTAGAGCAAAAAAATATTTTCTTAGTGTATCTTGGTGAGCATTTGATTATTCAATCCCAGCTTTTGGATAACAGTTGGATAACTGTTAGTTTGTCTTAAAATGAGTGAAAGTATTTAGAGGACAGTAAATGTTTGCTTCTTAAATTAAGGTGGATGGACACCTCTGGTACTGAAGGGAGCTAGAAATCAGTATTACTTGTATCGTTAACAGTAAAATATGTTGCTGATTATTGGTTTCTGTAATTTTTTTTGTAAATAAACTATAATCTCGTTTTTTTAATAGCGTGAGCTTTCTTAGATCTAAAATAACCTTGTATTACTCAGTTCTAAACCATAACTAGAGCTTATTTCATGCGGGTTTAGTTTCCTTATGATGGGAAATACAAAGCTGCTCTCAGCATGTGCAGTACTACCAGACTTCTGTGGTTTGAACCAAGATGATGTGCTGGTTGCCTGCCTCGTTTTGAATTGTTTTGATTCAAATTTTCCAAATACTTTCATACCAAGATTGAAATGGTGGAAAAATATTGTTATGCCCAAGTGATTATTTAGAAATGTTTTATTAGATTATTTAGAAATGTTTTATTGTTGCTCTATTTTTCAAGGAGGAAAATTGAGTTTGGCTGCACTGAGGATGTTTCGGTACATAAGAGCTGTGTGAAATTCAACAGGACTTCCCGTGCATTTGCAATTCAGGGCTGCTTTGGGATGAGGTAGAGCTGGGCATAACAACAAGGGCGTGGGCTGGCAGGAGAGGGAAAGCTGGTATGAAGAAGTGTGTATTTAAAATACAAATAGAGGGTCTTTTTCAACCCGTGCTCTCATTTACTTCTCCTTCCCTAGCAGCAAAAAGAGAGGAAATTGCCCGGGCTAAGTGTATGGGCAAGGAAGGCAGGGTCTGGGTGGGGCAAATAGGAGCTCCTGACCGGCCGCCACGAGGCAAGACCACCAGCGTGGAGTCAGGGAGATGGGAAGCTGGATCCACGGTGGGATTAGGAACCAGCGGGCAGAGTGAAAGGCGTGATGGGGATGAGAGAATGTATCTGAAAAGCACGCAGGACCAGGAGAACAGTAAGGCTAATTGGACAACAAATTAATGTTGGGGAAGATGCTTGAGACTGGGTTACAAATTTGGTCATAGAAGCAGAGATGCCTGCTTATTTTGTAGCCTAAGCCTGTATTTTGTAGCCTAGCACTAAAACTGAAGTTTGGGAGCGAGGGGAGAGACTGATAAGGAACTGTTACCTCAACCAGGGCAGAATATGTTGCGTTTGGAAGAAGCAGGCAGAGGAGACTGGTCGCTGCAGTGCCATTTGGCGCTTGGAAACAAGCCCAGCCTGATCATTACTGCTGCCAGATCTTCAGCTCAGCTGGCAAATACGTGATACTTAGGCTTTATTAGCCTGGGTTTCAGTAAGTTTCCACATAATTTGTTTTTTGCTGGCTGTTTTAGAAATAACTAAGATATATGTAGGCATATATTGTGTCTAGAGAAAAATACAGAGAGAATTTCGGAGCTTCCAAGTCAAGCTCTCAGAAAATAGGAAAAAGCAGGTTGTGTGTTGAGACTGCTTTCTGTCCCCAGGTGCAATATGTTCATGTGACTACGTGTGGTAAATAAGATGCAAGATAAAAACCATCTTGTGTGAAAACTGCCCTGATGAACTGGTTTCTCCCCTGCCTCTGTTGCAATGACCTTATGCATTATGCAGTGATAAACTAATAACTAAATAGCTAAATATCAGTTGGTTTGCTGGGTGCCTCCTTCGAGGCCGCGCGGCTTGCGGAAGCGCTGTGTATTCCCTAGGATGGCTGTAAGAGCAGTGCTTTGAGAAATAGGCTTTTATTACAGAGGCTTCCAAGATGAGGGAATGTATTTAACCTTAGTTTGAAAGTACCTCTGGCAGCTCCGACATGTGGTGATGGTAGAGGCGCGTTTTGGGAGCGAAGGGTCAGGGTCTTCAAGGTTTGTGTTCGGTTGCTCTTTTGGCAGGCAGCCAGCGCCGTCCTGCTCAACACCAGGGAAGGGCAGTGCAGTTGAACAGCCTTGTTCAGCTAAACCTGAACGGATTTTGATGGGACAAACAAATGTCACTTTCTCCAGCCTAAATAGCTCAGCTCCCTCTTCCTCCAACTGCTGGTGCTTGCAGACAGCCTGTGAAATTCAAAGGCATTAGTCCCTTCCAAGGTGGCAAGAATATTTTGCGTTGGTAACTGTTCACTTGCAGAAGTGTAGCAGCTCCTCCTACAAACAGTATGTATGTTATGAGGACTGTCATGCTTGAGTGTAACATAATGTCTTTCCACTAAATGAAATACCCACAGGAGACAGGCTGACTAGGAGCACTGGCAACGGGATATAGACCCTTTAATCTGTAGGAATGATAACGTATTTACAGTTGATGGCTGTATAATGGCATAAAATAAGTAGTCAGTCTCACTTCCAAATGAGAGGTCTTAGTAGCTCACATATCCCCATTTAGGTGTTTTCAAGAAGGCCACCAATTTTATAATGGCTGCGATCCTCAGTGCCCCTCTCACTGCTTGTTTGGGCCTTGCCAATCCCAGTTGTATTACGCTGGTAGAAGGGTGTGAAGCAGCTTTGTCTTGTGCTACTTCAGTGGTGAGTGGGCTTCAGTTTCCAGGGCAAATACCCATTTTTGCTCTGTGAGAAATTATTTTCCTAAAATGCTAGTATTTTTGCAGTACAGATAGGATAGAGTGAGACTGCACGTGCTGTTGGTGAGGGCAGCTCAACAGATCAATGATAAGCCACTGCACCTTAGTTGTTTGGTCCTTTCCTGATGACCCTATTTCAGTCTAGCAGGGAGTGTTTGGTCTGAAATCTGTTTTGGGAAGCTTGTCTTCAGCAATGGCAAGCTTTAAGCTGAGCATCAAATGTAGACAGAACAGATGCCATGACTGATTTCAGAATCCATGTAAAGAGGAAAACACAGATGTTCTTAGATTATTTTCATTACTTATTTGATTTACTCACACAAAATAAGGAAATGTTTGTTAATATAATTTATGTGAGGCATGGCTTCTTCCAGTTATCAGAGGTTGCCAACATATTTTGTCAACTTTTGATATAAAACAAAAAATTATTATAGTGTGACTTTAAGTGGGGCTTCTGCAAATTTCTGCTTTTGGATTAGCATCCTGCTTTCTGCAATATGTAAAGGCTCACTTTACATTTAAAAACCTTACTGGAAGAAAGATAATTTTGCACTCTTTCATATAATGCTTCAGATGCTAAGTTGTGAATAGAGAGAAGCATTACTCTTCTCTTATTGCTTTTGCAAGATGATCTCTTTAATTTTCTGGATGCCATAAATTGTCATGTTGTCGTCCCCCCCCCTTTTTTTTTTAAGTAAAGCTGCTTCATTTCTGTAGCTTACGTTTGTGCTAAATTGATGGTGAAGAATAGCACAGTTTAAGAAGATAAATGTCAGGAATGTCTTCTAAAGTAGACATTCAGATTTTTTTGGATTAATGGGAAAGAAGGTCAATAATTGCATGGACTTCAATAA